ACTCTCTCAACTTTCCTATGCTCTTCCCCTCTCACACTCTCTTTCCACTTTGTCTCTAGTGTCCATTACAATTTTTAATACTTTCATGTGTTCCAGTCTTTCAGTCTCTACAGAGTGCAGACAGTTGGTATATGTTAAGTGGAGACATGCAATGTCTCTCTTTCATATCCTCACTTGCTTCACTCAGCAACAAATCTTCCATATTCATCCAATTTCTATCAAATTCCAGGACCTTGATTTTTTTTTTTATGGCTGAATAGTATGAAAAATTGTGGCACATATACTCCATGGAATACTATTCAGCTTTTTAGGAATTTTTAAAATTAGATTTTTGCTATAGGGCATGTGTGCCCACTGGAGAGCAACAGAGAGAGACAGAGAGAAAGAAAAAGTAAGAAATCATCCTTCTAGGGAGATGGGCATGGTGCAATCTTTTTTCTTCCATTCTCTTCTTGGGATTTTGGGCATGTACACACATACCTGGCAAGATTTTCAATCCATGGAGTCTGGGACTCAAACCATTAAATCAGTCATGTGGGAGCCAGAGCTTTAACTTCCATGCCATCTGGTGATCCCTCTCCATTTTAGAGCAGATTTTTTAAAAGAGAGGGAGAGAGAGAGAGAGAGAGAGAGAGGAATTGCTGAAAGAGTTGTTGAGGAGAAATACATACAAAACCAAATAACAGTAAAGCACTAGAACCTTTGATAATAGAATATGAAACATAACTTTCAGGGAAGAAAAGGGCTTGAAAGAGTTGTTGAGGAGAAATACATACAAAAACAAGTAACAGTAAAGTAATAGAACCTTTGATGATAGAAAATGAAACATAACTTTCAGGGAAGAAAAGGGCTAAGATACATAAATTCAACATATTCTCTTCATGTGCCCACAAAGTTCACTAAGTTCTGAGGCCAGTGATCCATCATGGACAAGAGGCTGCCCTGCTGAGGAGTCTCTCCAGGGCCCCCTTCACGTCCTTGTTCCTCAGGGTGTAGATGAAGGGGTTCAGCATGGGGGTGACCACAGTGTACATCACTGAGGCGATCGAACTTCTTTGGGAAGAATGGGTCACAGCAGAACTGAGGTGGACCCCAAGCCCTGTCCCATAGAACAAGGAGACCACGCAGAGGTGAGACCCACAGGTGGAGAAAGCTTTATACTTGCTGGCAGTGGAGGACATCTTCATTAAGGAGGAGACAATCTGAGAGTAAGAGTAGAGGATCCCGGTTATGGGAATCACACCCAGTAGGGCGGTTGCTACATACAAAGCAATGTTATTGATGATGGGATCCGAACGGGACACCTTGAGAACTGGAGCCACTTCACAGAAGAAATGTGGAATCTCAGTGCCTACAGAGAAAGTCAGCCTTGTCATTAGTACGATGTGAAGCAGGGCCACAAAAAAAATAATACACCAAGACATTAGAACCAGAAGGACACAGACACGAGGGTTCATGATGACCGTGTAGTGTAAGGGGTGACAGATGGCCACAAACCGGTCATAGGCCATTATGGTCAGCAAAAAATTATCCATTCCAGCAAAAATCATAAAAAAATATAACTGAGTGAGGCACCCTCTATAGGAGATGTCTTTGCTGTGTGCATGGATGTTTGCCAGCATCATGGGGACCGTGGTGGAGGTGATACAGATGTCTACAAAGGACAGGTTGGAGAGGAAGAAGTACATGGGGGTGTGGAGGTGGGAGTCAGAGCTGATGGCTAAGATGATGAGCAGGTTCCCAAGAATGGTGACCAGGTACATGGACAGGAACAGCCCGAAGAGAAGGGGTTGCAGTTCTGGATCCTCTGAGAGGCCCAAGAGGAGAAATTCTGTTACTTCAGTGAGATTTTCTGCTTCCATGTAGTTGGCAATTCTGCTTGGGAAGGAGGTAAAAACAATGTCCCATGATCAGTCCCTGGCACCTCAGCTGGTTATCACTTTGCAATACCACCCTTGGGAGGATGTCCTTCACCTTCTATTGAGTTCTGCCAAGGACTGTGACTTATTCAACTATGAGGTAACTGATATTCATTAAAAGTGTAAGATTATGGGACCAGCAGTTAGTGTAATGGCTATGTCGCTGGACTCCCATGTAGTCAACCGTGGTTTGAGTCCCAGATCCGGTGGCTTAAAACTCATGCTGGGCGCGTGTGCGTGCGTGCCCAGGATCCCGGGAGGAGAGTGGAGGAGAAGGGATTGCGGCGTGGCCATCCCCCCTGGGGGGTGATTTCTCGCTTTCTATCTCTCTGTCTCTCTCTGTCTGTCTGGCGAGTGCACATGCCCTATAGCAAAAACCTCTCCAAAAAAAAAAAGTGTAAGATTATGAGGCCAGTGGGTGGCATGGTGGTTAAAGCTCTGAACTCTCATATGACTGACTATGGTTTGAGTCCCAGACCTGACCTGGTGGCTTGCTATCTTACTTTCCATCTCTTTCACTCTTTCTGGTGATCACAGGTGCCCTATAGCAAATTAAAGAAAAAAAATATAATAAATAAAGTTAAATAAAGAATTCTTTTGAAAAAATGTAAGATTATTGTGATTTTCTTTAATGGATCAGAAATCTCTCTCTTTACATTTGCTCGTATGTTTTAATTCTCATGCTTGAATCAATAGATCTAAATGAATTTCTCCTTTGAAATAACACTTCCCCCCCAAAAAATCAAGACATTTCATGTCTTATCCTTGATAAGCACCACAATTTGTTCATTCTAATAACTTTGTTATAATGAAGACTGGGATTTTCAATTCAGACAAGCTTTATTCTGTGATCTGACACTTTGTAGTCATATGACAGTTAATTTTTAGTGCCTCATTTATTACTTTAAAAAAATATGGTAACTAGGCCAACAGGTGACATAGTGGTTAAAGCTATCACAAGCTGAGTTCTGGACCTGGCAACTTGAAACTCACACCAGGCACTTGTGTGTGTGCACCCAAAATCCCAGGGAGGGAATAGTGGAAAGGGCTTGAAGCCTGGCCATCCCCCTTCTGGAGTGATCTCCCACATTCTAACTCACTATCTCTCTCTCTCTCTCTGGCAAGTGCATACACCCTATAGGAAAAACAAAAACAAAAAAAGGAGAGAAAGAAATAAAAGAAACTGGGTTTGAGTCAAACTGGAGAATGATTTGCTCTGCTAACTTACTACTGGGTAACCTTGAGAAAGTTATTGATACCTCCTGAGCTATAGATATCTCACCTTTACAGTAGGTAGAGTAAATGTTTCTTACATGGGAGGATTGAAAAACAAAATTGAGGGACCAGCAGTTGGTGTAATGGCTATGTCGTTGGACTCTCATGTAGTCAACCACGGTTTGAGTCTTGGATCTGGTCGCTTAAACTCACACTGGGCGCATGTGTGTGTGTGCCCGAGATCCCGAGAGGAGAACAGAGGAGAAAGGATTTTGGTGAGGCCATCCCCCCTAGGGGGTGATTTCTCACTTTCTGTCTCTCTGTCTCTTTCTGGAAAGCACATGTGCTCTATAGCAAAAACCTCTCAACAAACAAACAAACATAAAAGAAAAAAAATTAAACGATGCATGTAATTTTTCTCCTTTGTTCCTGTAGCAAACCATGTGTGCATTCCAAATAAAAATGTCTGCTGTTGATATAATGATCAATCTGTCTCACATGGCTAACACTTATTAATACCCCCCTTAAGTTAGGGCAACCATCAATAATAGAATTCTGATCATTATAAATACAACAGTTCTGGAGACCAGCAGATGCATGAGTGGTTATGCTGCTGGACTCTCACACGACCAACTGCAGTTCGAGTCCCGGACCCGGTGGCTTCAAAAATCACATGTGCATGTGTGGCCAAGATCCTAGGAGGAGAATGGAGGAGAAGGGATTGTGGTGTTGCCATCCCTGCCTAGGAGTGATTTATCACTTTCTCTCTCACTGTGTCTGTCTGTCTCTCTCCCTGGTGAGTGCATGTCCCCTAAGGCAAAAACCTCTAAAAAATTTTAAAATTAAAAGTAAGTAAGTAAGTAAATAAATAAATAAAACAGGTCTGTTACCTCTTCTGACTGCCATATGCCACTTGTAATGAATGAAGACCCCTATGGTTCCTTATTTCAGAGGATACTTGAGAGGTGAAGTCTTCCAAGAAGAGGAAAATCATGTGGACTGAATAAATAAGAGAAGACAACAAAATAACACACCCATTAAAATCGGATAGAAGGGGTGTGCGGGAGGGTGTGCTTGATTTGTGAGTATGATTTCCCTGTCAAAGATTAAGTGAATATAGAATTGTCTTAGTCTCCTTACTCTACAGATTAAACTCATTATCAATATTCTCTCTGCTTTTCCTTCTTAGCACCAGCCCTAGCAGGACCACACTGATACTCACCGATGTTTATCACAGAAGTTTTCTGTTCCACATTCCGTCCCTAGGAAATCCAATTGGGTTTACACTTAGGCTGTAACCAGAGAATTACAGGTCAGGTGTAGGTAACAGGGACATATTTAAAGTTTCAGTGACTCAGGGTATAATTCCCAGAACTACTCATTAAATGTATTGTTCTATTGTATTTTGTTCTCCAAACAATTAGTCTCCCTTAGCGTTCAAAGAAGATGGTAGAATGGGAGTTATTCAGTTAATTTTGTGTCGATGTAGACATTGGTGGGCAAGAAATGGAATTTTATTTCCTCTCAGGAGAAGCTCTTTCTTCTTTGGTTTGATGTAAGAGTTACAAGGTGTGTTCTCTAAAGAAATTGTAGTATCTACTAGGAATCAAACTCAGGTACCAACTCTCTGTAATGTGCCTCCCAAAGGCCAACGTTGGTGCTGGCAGAAAGTTGAAGGAGTAAAAAATTCTACAATGACTATCTGCGATGATCGTGTGGATTTTTCATGAGAGGACTAATAAACTAAAAAATTTTCATGTGAGAAAAAAAAGACTCTTTGGAAACTTTATGGATAACTCAGTGTTCATAAGTTACAGAGGGAAACAAGTCCTTTTTGAACAAAAGCAATGATTAACATGATTAACAGGTTTTTTTTTTTTTTTTGAAGAGATTTTTCTATAGGGCATGTACACTCACTGGAAAGACAGAGAGAGAGACGTAGAGAGAAATAACCTCTCCTGGGGGATGGTCATACCACAATCCCTTCTCCATTCTCTTTTTGAGATTTTGGGCATGGATACTCATGCACCTGATGGTGAGTTTTAAGTCCCCTGCCAGGCCCGGGACTCAAACCACAGTAGACTACATATCTACTACCATGTCCAGCGACATAACCATTATTCCATATGTTGATCATGAGGATTTTGGTTCTGGTGAAGAGTCACAAATTGAGGACTCATTCTTTGTCATTTGTTTGTGACATGGAGGCTTTGGTCATAATAGGGAAGGCTGCCCTGACAACCAACAAATAGATGGGCAGGGATAGAAGTACCCTAGGTAGAGTGGGTTGAAGAGTATTGAGGACCTATAGGTGACAATTACTAGTCATCAATAAAATTTTTCAGGAAAGGGAAGGACAGAGGTAAATCACAGCCTCAAGGAAGTATGGAGTAGGCAAGAATTTAAAAAATGAATGCAAAGGTCAGTAGATAGCGTGGGGGTTGTGGTGCTGGATCCCACACGGACAACTCTACAGTTCAAGTCCTGAACCTGAAAATCATGCCAGGCACGTGTGTGTGTGCCCAAAATCTCTAGAGGAGAATGGAGGAGAAGGAATTGTGTTGTGATCATCTTCCTGGGGGAGGATTTCTCATTTCTGTCTCTGTCTCTCTACAGTGAACACACATACTTTATATAAAACACAAGAAAAAAGACAAAAATAAATTGAACAAATTAATACAAGATGTGGAAATTTGTTTAATTTTAATACACAGGAAGTTCTAATTATTTAATTTGCAGGATGCAGTGTATACTCTAAATCAATGACGCATCGTATTTGCTGTATTTCCAATATATAGAAAAAGTGGGCCCAGAAATCAAGGTTTGGAAGTAGAGATGGCTGTACCTAATGTCACTCCCTGAGAACCATTTGGGAAGTCTGTGCTTCCAGGGTTGTCATTTGAAATTGGAACCAACTTTCAAATGGAAAATCACAGCACTACTCTTATGAAGAGTAGAACAGCAAAATTATGAATCTGGACTGAGCGTCCAGTTACCAAGTTTCATCTCAACACCATTTTTTCCTTTGACTAATGGAGTAAATGAGAGAAAATATCTTAAAGAAATAATTTCAGGATTAAATACTCCTATGTAAAGCAACAAGCCCAGACCCAAAGTGGCGATCACTTTGCCTTGACTATTACATGATTTTCATTCCATTTCTTCTAGGAAAAACAAAATCACAACCAACATACAGTGAAGAATGTTCATGTTGAAGAGGATAATTTTTGAGGAGACCATGACAACACTTGATATAAGTGCTTTCAACATTCAGTTAAAAATATCAGGAATAGCTATAGGAAAACTTACCAAAAATATAATTTTATGAGTAGGGCAAAAAAGTAAAAAAGGAATTACTGAAGAAGTTAGCTAAGAGAGAACAATAGGGGCCAGCAGGTGGCATGGTGGTTAAGGTGCTGGACTCCCACATGGTCAACCATGGTTTGAGTCCTGGACCTGGTGACTTGCTTTCTCTCTTTCTCTTTCTCTCTCTCTCTGGTTGAATTAAAAATAATAATAACAAATAAAATAAAATAATTCTTTTTTAGAAAAAGAAAAATATAAAAACATATAAAAGCAAGGTCATTGTTGCCTTGGGAATAAAGGCAATGCGCATTTTCTGTTGAGGAGTCTCCCGAGCACTCCCTTCACGTCCTTGTTCCTCAGGGTGTAGATGAAGGGGTTCAGCATGGGGGTGACCACAGTGTACATCACTGAGGCAGTTGAGCTTCTCTGGGAAGAGGAGGTCACAGCAGAACTGAGGTAGACCCCCAGTCCTGTCCCGTAGAACAAGGAGACCACAGAGAGGTGAGACCCACAGGTGGAGAAAGCTTTATACTTGCTGGCGGTGGAGGACATTCTCAGTAAGGAGGAGACGATCTGAGAGTAAGAGAACAGGATCCCAGTCATGGGAAACACACCCAACAGGGCAGTGCACACATACATGACGATATTAGTGATGAAAGTATCAGAGCGAGCTACTTTGAGAATCGGAGCCAGCTCACAGAAGAAATGGGGAATCTCAGTGCCTACAGAGAATGTGAGCTGTGTTACCAGGAGAAGGTGAAGCAGGGCAGCCCAGAAAACGATGAACCAACATATCAGCACCAACAGGCCACAGAAGCGGGGGTTCATGACGACCGTGTAGTTCAGGGGGTGACAGATGGCCACAAACCGGTCATAGGCCATCACGGTCAGGAGGAAGTTATCCATTCCAGCAAAGATCATAAAAAAGTACATCTGAGTGAGGCACTCTATATAGGAGATGTCTTTGATCTGTGTGTAGATGTTCACCAGCATCTTGGGGACGGTGGTGGAGACAAAGCAGATGTCAATAAAAGACAGGTTGGAGAGGAAGAAGTACATGGGGGTGTGCAGGTGGGAGGCAGAGCTGATGGCCAGGATGATGAGCAGGTTCCCAAACACGGTGACCAGGTACATGGACAGGAACAGCCCAAGGAGAAGGGGCTGCAGTTCTGGATCCTCCGAGAGGCCCAAGAGGAGGAATTCTGATACTTCTGTGTGATTTTCTTCTTCCATATTACTGGTGCGTCTTCTTGGGAAGAATGTGAAAGTGACATTCAATAACATCCACCTGCTTTCTCTTCAGCTAGTCACCACGTTACACTATGACCCTTGGATGGACATCTGTCACCTTTATAGACTCCTTCCGGTGACAAGGATTCACTCAGTCTAATGGTAGCCAATTTCCATTTTAATATGTACAGTCAGATTCCCTTCAATTTAACAAAAATCTCTCTTTTCTTTTTTGAGAAGTTTTTGCTACAGGGTGTGTGTGCTCCCCAGAGAGACAAAGAGACAGAAAGCGAGAAATTACCCCCCAGGGGGGATGGCCACACCGCAATCCCTTCTCCTCCATTCTCCTCTCGGGATCTTGGGCACGCACGCACACGCACCCTGCGTGAGTTTAAGCCACCGGGTTCAGGATTCAAACCAGGGTCGACTACATGGGAGTCCAGCGACATAGCCATTACACTAACTGCTGGTCCCTCTTTTATTTTCTACTCATTAGTTTTAATTCTTCCATTTGAGTCCACAGAGAGAGGGAAAGTGAGAAATCACCCCCAAGAGGGGGTTGAGGCCATGCCACAATCCCTTCTTCTCTGTTCTGCTGTCAGGATTTTAGCCGCCCATGCACACGGACCAGCATGAGTTTCAGGCCTCTGGGTCCAGACTTCAACCATGGAGTCGGCCACGTGGGGTCCAGTGCCTTAATCACCATGCTGTCTGCTGGCCTAAGTTTCATTTTTTAAATGACCCTTCCAAAATAACTAAAAGACATTTTGTGTCTTTTCTTTGATATTCCCATAGTTTCTTTATTTTAGCAGCTCTACAATAGAAATTAAGACATTGATTTCCAACTCAGACAACCTTCATTCTATCACTTGACACATCCTAGTGATGTTAAAGTTAACTCTCAATGCCTTACTTCTTTCTTTCTAATGGTATTACCATTACCTTCTTTGTGAGGTTTAAAATGCTTTTGTGCAGAGTAGGTTATAAATAAGTAATGTAATTGCCATTAAAATCCTCCTTCTGTGATTATTTTGGATGCAATATTCTACCAAGTTACTTCAAAGATCTGTTATTTTACAAAGTTGTTTTTATTTTTAAAAATTTTTCTATAGAGTGCATGCACTCACCAGGGGGACAGGGTAAATGGCCACTCTACAATCTCTTTTCCATTTTCCTCTTGGGATTTCAGATATATATACACACACATGTGACTGATCTGGTTTTCAAGCCACCAGATTCGGGACTCGAAGCACACTATCAGCCATGTGGGGTCAGTGTGTTAACAATCATGCCGGGCACTGGCCCAAAACTGATTTCTTGAATCAATTCCTGGAGTAGAATTTTTATCTGCCAACTTAGAACTATTATTCTTAGCTGCAGATCACTCACTTCTACAGTAGGGGGAGTAAAAACTTCCTACCTTGGGACCAGCAGATGGTGTGGTGGTTAAGGCACTGGACACTCCCATATGACCGACCAAGGTTCAAGTCCTGAATCTTGTGGCTTGCTTTCTCACTTCCTCTCTCTTTCAGTCTTACCCTCTGTCTCTCTCTGGTCAAACTAAATAATAATAATAATGAATGAATGAATAAATAAAATAAAATAAATAATTATAAAAAAAACTTCCTACCTTGTAGGATCGAAGAATAAAATGAAATGAGATGACACATGAATTTTTCTTTGTGGTTCTTGTGACACACAATGGACATTTTACAAGTGTGAACTTCTGCACTTAAGATCACAAGGAATCCATCTCCCATGGCTATCACGTATCCATAGTCTCCTTAACCTGGGGCAGCTATTGAACACCGTAAATACATTACCTCTCTTGACCTCCATGCAGCCCTTCTAGTTAATGAAGATCCCTATGGCTCCTTCCTTCCGAGAATGCCTGCCGGGTGAGAAAAGGAAAAGCATGGAGACAAAATAGGTAAGAGGAGAAAACGAAAGGACACAATCATTACAGTGAAGAGGAAGGGGTGTGTGCATATATTCTTGAGTGCAGATGTAGTGGATTAACATCAGCTGGATTAATTGCCAAAAAAATAGGACTGATAGAGTTGACTTAAAAGTATTCCAAGCTGCTGGGCCAGCAGAAGCCGTGGTGGTTAAGGTGGCTGAATGCCCCATGGCCGACTATTCAGTTTGAGACTCTGACCTAGCAGCTTGTAAAACACGCCTGGCAAGTGTACATGCATGCCCCAAATCCCGAGAGAGAATGGAGGACAAAGGATTGTGGTGTGGCCATCTCCCTTATGTGTGTGTGGGGGGGTAATTTCTCACTTCCCTCTCTCTCTGTTTCTCTCTTGTGAACACATGCGCCTTGTGGAAAAAATCTGAAATAAAAAATCAAAGCTTTTAAAAATGAAATCATCCTGGAAATAGTAAAAAGGGAATGTACAATTTGAAAAGAAATGTTCACTTTTTTTATGAGAGAAAACAGGATTGTATTACAATGGTGTAGCGGTTAAGGTTTTGGGCTCCCACATGGCTGACTGAGATTGGAATCCAGATCCAGAGACTTAAAACTCATGGTAGGCACATTTGCGTTCGTGCCCAACAGCCAGAAAAGAGACTGGAGGAGAAGGGATTGCACCATGGCCATCCTCCTTGGGTGGGGGATGAAGGGTGATTTCTTGCTTTTGGTCTCTCTGTCTCTCCAGTGACAGGGGCATACGCCCCATAGCAAAAAAAAATTCGGTCTTAAAGAAAGATGAACAATTAATACCAAGTCAATGAATGCAAGTTGGTTTAAAGTAAGAATGTTTGTAAACAAAATTCAACATTAAAAAAATGTCAATAAATAGAAACAATCACTGGGCAGACAGGTGGCCTGGAGGTTAAGGACCCGATCCCACATGACTCTCTGTGGTTTAAGTCTCAGACCTGGTGCCTTGAGAAATAGTTACCATGGTCACAATTCAAAAAAATACACTTGAAAATATTTTACAGTCAGTGGAAGCAGAACCTCTTGAGAAACGAGAAGACCATTAACTCAAGAATAAATGGTGTAAAGTCATAGGCAATGGTTGTGCTCTGTGAAAACCTGTGTTATTTATGTCGAATTCCTAACAAGCTAAGGGGGTCTGCTCTAACTTTAATAATTCAATATTTTCCTTACTATTTAAGCAGGTTAGTAAGATGAAAAAAGAAAGCCTCACAACTAAACATCAGAAATAATTATGTATTGTATTATATTGGGTACACTAATGCAAAAAACAAAAAAACAAAAAAACATACACAATTATAGAGCTGTCCAATGATATCGCTATGCTAGATCAGCCCGCAACAATATTTAGGAGATTTAAGAGAAAAATCCAGTTACATTAGGACTGAAAAAAGATGATACTCCTAGTAGATCTTCCATGTGATGAATTGAAGCAGGAAGTCTAAGAAGAATCTACGTCTAGGGAACAACTGTTGAAGATGTTGCAGACTCACCAGAAAAAAATATATACCCAAGGGATGGCCGTTTCTCTCTCTCTCATTGGAGGGAGGCTTTAGTTTCCAGAAAGAAAGAAAATAAAACAGAATGGGAGCAGGCAGGTAGCGCAATAGTTAAGGCACTGGACTCCCATGTGGTCAACTGTGGTTTGAGTCCCAGACTTGGCTACTTGCTTTCTCACTTTTCCTCTCTCTCTCTCTCTCTCAGGTCAAAACTGAAGAATAATGATGAACAAATAAAATAAATAATTCTTTAAATAAAAGACAAGAAAATGAAGCAGAATGAACTGGTTTCAGTGGAAATCAAAGTCCTTTCAAAGTGCAGCAAGGTCACTTTCATAGGCTATATAAATATGAAATTATTACAGTTTCTTTACTTTAGAGATAAAGCCTAGTACTCCCTTTCTCTCCCATTTTCCTTCTCTCCCCTCACAGGATCACACTGATGCCCTCCAGTGTTTACCAAGGAAGCTTTCTGTTCTCCAGAACCCGGTTGGGTTTTCACCTAGGCTGGGATCAGAGAATTATAGGTGAGGAGTAACAGGGACATTTTAAACATTTCCAGTATCTTAAGGCTTGAATTCCCAGAGCACCTCATTAAATATATTGCTCTATTGTCTTTGCATTTGCCAAACAATTCAGCTCCTTTGGGGCCCAAAGAAGAGGGCAGAATGGGAACTATTCCATCAGTTTTATGTCCATGTAGACAGCGGTGGTGATTGGGAGATGGATTTTATGTTCTCCAAGCAGAAACTCTTTCTTTCTTCAGTTTGGATGAAAAGTTCCAAGATGCTCCCTAAGGATATTTTAATTTCATTTTTAGAAAAGAATGATTTATTTAAGTTTATTTATTATTATTATTTTATTTGACTAGAGAGAGACAAAGGGAATGTGAGGAAGCAAGTTGCCAGGTCCAGGACTTAACTGTAGTCTGCCATGTGGAAGTCCAGCACCTTAACCATCACACCACCTTCCAACCCCAGGATATTTTAATTTTTACAAGGAACCAAATCTCTCTAATAGGCCTGCTGTAAGGAATCTTTAGAGATTGTATGGATCACTCAGTGTCCACCAAGTTACATAGACAAAGAAGTCCTTTCTGAAGAAAACGGAAATGGTTCTGTTGAAAAGAACAGGGGCCAGCAGGTGGGGTGGTGGTTAGGATGCTGGACTCCCACATGGTTTGAGCTCCAGACCTGGTGGCTTGCTTTCTCACTTCATGCATGCATGCCTAAAATCCTACGAGAAAGGAGAAGGGGTTGCTGGGTGGCCTTTCCCCTGGGGGGTGATTTCTCAGTTTCTCTCTCACTGGGAGCACACATGCCCTAAGGCAAATACCTCTCAAAAAATATATATATTTTTAGGGCCAGCAGATAGCATGGTGGTTAAGATGAGGAATTCCACATAGCTGACCTGGTGGCTTGAAAAACACACTAAGTATGTGTGTGTGTACCCAACATCCTGAGAGAAGAATGGAAGAGAAGAGGTGGTGGCATGGCCATTCCCTTTGGGGGGTGATTTCTTCCTTTCCCTCTCTCTCTTGGTCTTTCTGTGTCTGTCTCTAGTGAGCACATGTGCCCTATGTCAAAAACCTGCAAAAATAAAAATAAAAAAATTAATAAACTATATGAGTTTAATTTCAAAGAGAATAGTTATATTAAATACGAATGTTTGAATACACAGGAAGTTCTGGCTGTTTAACTTTCAGTGAGCTATATAGACTCTAAATCAATGATAAATTACATGTGCCACATTCCCAATGCTTAGAGTACGTGGGTACAGAAATCAAGGGTTGGAATAGAAGTGGCTGTACTGAAAGTCACTCCCTGTGAGTCACTCAGGGAGATTGTGCCTCCTGGCTCCACTACTCTGACTTCTGCACATGGAGAGGTCTTGACTCCTAACAGATAGCACTTCTAGAGAAACAGTAATATTTCCACTAATTTTAAGAGTGATTTTTGCTATTGGCTGCTCGTGCTCACCAGAGCAACAGAAAGTGAGAAGTCACCCCTCAGGAGGGATGGCTACACTGCAATCCCTTCTCCTTTATTCTCCTCCTGGGATTTTGGGCACATATGCACATGCACCCTGCATGAGTTTCAAGCCACTGGGTCTTGGACTTGAACTGTGACTGACCATTGTGGAGTCTAGCGACATAACCATTATTCCTTCTGCTGGTCCCTCCCACTAAATTTTAAGCTATGCTGATACTTAGCAGTTTAAGTCTCCTGTGCCAAGAAAAGGAATCATCAGTCCAGTAGAGGTCATTGACCCTGGTCATAATGTCCTTGTGTGGTCACAGGAACGGGCATGCACTGTCCCCTCTGTGTTTTGTTGGTGTTAGACCAGCCCGAGAGCAATGTCAGCACAAACACAATTGTGGATGCAGATAACTGCCAATGTGTTATCCTTCTCATTGAAGGAAAGCTCAATGGGGCCTGCAGGTGGTGTGGTGGTTAAGGTACTGGACTCCCACATGGCTGACTGTGGTTCGAGTCCTAGCTTGAAAATCACACTCGGTGTGTATGCATGCGTGTCTAAAATCTCAAGAAGAGAATGGAGGAGAAAGGGTCATGGCTTAGCCATCCTCCTTGAGAGGATAATGTCTCACTTTTCCCCTCTTTGCACCCTATGGCAAAAACTTTAAAAACAAAACAAACAAACAAAAAACAATAACAACAACAACAAAAAAAGTAAGAAAATGATCCCACCATAAAAAGAAAAAGAGCAAGGCAAATTAACTAACAAAACAATCAAAACAAGGAGGAAGAAAAGGAAAAAGAGAAGACGAGAAAAGAGAAAGAAAACCAAGAACCACACAAAAAATGAAGCAACATCGCAGAGTGTTCCACATCAAATTCATTTGATTCGTAGTAATACATCACTACGAATCAAATGAATCAACCAGCTTTCAAACCAAACATCATGGCACTATTTTTATGAAGAGTAAAAGAGTGAAATATGAGTCTGGACTGAGTGACTGAGTGTCAGGTTACCAGTTCTCTCAGCGCAGTCTCTTACTTTGACAGATGGAGTAAATGAGAGAAAATATCTTTTTTTTTTTTGGAGAGGTTTTTCCCTATAGGGCGCATGCGTTCGCCAGACAGACAGAGAGAGACATAGAGACAGAAAGCGAGAAATCACTCCCCAGGGGGGGATGGCCACGCCGCAATCCCTTCTCCTCCATTCTCCTCTCGGGATCTTGGGCACCTACGCACACGCGCCCGGTGTGAGTTTTAAGCCACCGGGTCCGGGATGCGAACCGCGGTCGACTACGTGGGAGTCCAGCAGCATAGCCATTACGCTAACTGCTGGTTCCGAGAGAGAAAATATCTTAAAGAAATGATTTCAGGATTAAGTAGTCCCACATAGAGCAACGAGCACAGTCCTGAGGTGATGATCACTTTGCCTCGACAATTGCATGAGTTTAATTTCCTTTCCTCCAGGAAAAACAAGAACACAACCAAAATAAGAAGAATGTTCACATTGCAGAAAATAATTTTTAAATTTTACTTCATTGATTATTATGGTTAGTGCAATTATTATTATTTTTAAATTGAAGGAGAGAGAAAGATGGAGAGAAAGAATGAGAGAGAGGGTGAGGGAAAGTGAGAAAGCAAGATGCCAGGTCCAGGTTTCAAGTTATGGTCGGCCATGTGAGAGTCCAGCACCCTAACCACTACTCCACCTGCTGATCCTGAAGAGGATACTTTTTGAGGAGACCATGAGAACACTTGATATCATAAGTTCTTTCAACGTCAAGTTAGAACTGGCAGGAATGGCTAAAGGAAAGTTTACCAAAAACGTAATTTTATGAACTTCGTAAAGGGCAAAAAGGTAAAAAAGGAATTACTGAGGGAGTTGTTTAAGGGGAAAAAAATATAGAAACATATAAAAGCAAGGTTATAATTGCCTTGAGAATAGAAGAAATGAAGTCTTTTGTAGGGGGAGGTTATTTAAATGTACACATTTGCCTTAAGGGTCCATAATGTCCAATAGTTTGGAGGCCAGAGATCCATCATAGACAAGAGGACACTCTGTTGAGGAGTTTCCTGAGAATCCCCTTCACATCCTTGTTCCTCAGGGTGTAGATGAAGGGGTTCAGCATGGGGGTGACCACGGTGTACATCACTGAGGCAATCGAGTTTCTCTGGGAAGAATGGGTCACGGCAGAACTGAGGTAGACCCCCAGTCCTGTCCCATAGAACAAGGAGACCACACAGAGGTGAGACCCACAGGTGGAGAAAGCTTTATACTTGCTGGCGGTGGAGGACATTCTCAGTAAGGAGGAGACGATCTGAGAGTAGGAGTAGAGGATCCCGGTAACAGGAAATACTCCCAATACGGCTGTCATGACATACAAGATAATGTTGTTGATGAGAGTATCAGATTGGGCCACCTTGAGAACCTGAGACAGGTCACAGAAGAAAAGTGAAATTTCGGTCCCCATAGAGAAGGTCAGCTGCAACATCAGTAGAATATGGAGAAGGGTGTTCCAGAACATGATGAACCAAGACATCAGAACCAGGAGGACACAGAGGCAGGGGCTCATGATGACTGTGTAGTGCAGGGGATGACAGATGGCCACAAACCAGTCATAAGCCATCACGGTCAATAAGAAACTATCCATTCCAGAAAGTATCATAAAAAAATACACCTGAGTGAGGCACCTTCTATAGGAGATGTCTCTGCTGTGTGTCTGGATGTTCACCAGCATCTTGGGGACAGTGGTGGAGACAAAACAGATGTCTACGAAGGACAGGTTGGAGAGGAAGAAGTACATGGGTGTGTGGAGGTGGGAGTCAGAGCTGATGGTCAGGATGATAAGCAGGTTCCCAAGCACGGTGATCAGGTACATGGGCAGGAACAGTCCAAGGAGAAGGGGCTGCAGTTCTGGATCCTCGGAGAAGCCCAAGAGGAGGAATTCTGATGCTTCTGTGTGATTTTCTTCCTTCGTGTAACTAGCAGGTCTCCTTGGGAAAAAAGTGAAAGTGATATTCAGTGACAGCCAGCTGACTTCTCAGCTAGTTTTCACTTTACACTATGACCCTTGGATGGACATCTGTCACCTTTATAGAGTCGTTTCAATGATGACGATTCACTCAGCCTAATGGTAGGTAGCCAGTTTCCATTTTAATCTGTATAGTTTGTCAGATTCTCTTCGATTTAACAGAAATATCTCTCTTTTATTATCCACTCACTAGGTTCTTTTTAAGAATCATTTTTTAGTTAGTTTTACTCATCATCATTATTATTATTTTTAATTGACCAGAGAGAGAAAGAGGGAAAGTGAGAAAGCAAGCCACCAGGTCCAGAATTCAAACCATGGTTGGCCACGTGGAATCTAGCACCTTAACCACCATGCCACCCACCTGCCCCTCTGCTTACTAGTTTTAATTCTCTTATTTGAGTTAATGAACCTAAGTATGAATTTCTTTCTTTTTCTTTCTTTTTTTGTTTTTTTTTAAGTTGTTTTTTTTTTTCCATAGGGTGCATATTCTTGCTGGAGAGGGAAAGTGAGAAATCACTCCTTAGAGGGGATAGCAATGTCCCAATCCCTTCTCCTCCATTCTGCTCTCAGAATATTAACCACCCATGCACATGCACCTGGCATGAGTTTCAGGTTGCCAGGTCCAGGACTCGAACTACAGAGTTGGCCATGTGAGATACAGTGCCTTAGCCATCATGCTATCTGCTGGCCTGAGTTTCTTATTTTGAAATAACTCTTGGACCAGCAGTTAGCGTAATGGCTATGTCGCTGGATTCCCACGTAGTCGACCGCGGTTCGAGTCCCGGACCTGGTGGCTTCGACTCATGCCGGGCGCGTGTGCATGCGTGCCCAAGATCCTGAGAGGAGAATGGAGGAGAAGGGATTGCAGCGTGGCCATCCCCTCTCGGGAGGTGATTTCTCGCTTTCTATCTCTCTGTCTGTCTGGCAAGCGCACACGCCCTATAGCAAAAACAAAAACAAAAACAAAAACAAAACCTCTCAAAAAAAAAACAAAAAAAAAACAAACCTTCTGAAGCTTTCTGAGGGTAGAAAGTTCTGAAGATAAATATTTTACAAGTTTCTAGTCATCACATGAAGATACTCTCACATTTGGTGTCATTCTTCTGCTCATTTGGTGTAATCCAACCATAAAGGACTTCTTTCTTTCTTTCTTTTTTTTAAATAATTTTCTTTAAGGTGTGTGTGCTCACTGGAGAGAAACAGAGAGGGAGCAAGAGAGAGAGAGTGATTAGTTATCCCCGGGGGGGATAGTCATGGCGTACCCTTCTCCTCCATTGTCCTCTCAGAATTTTGGGCACACACATGGACCTGGTGTGATTTTCAAGCTACTAGGTCCAGGACTCTCAGTCAGCTATGTGGGATCCAGTGTCTTACCTTCCAGCTACCATTAATCTTGTATTTTCTTTCTTTCTCTTTCTCCTTTTTCTTTCTTTCTTTCTTTCTTTCTTTCTTTCTTTCTTTCTTTCTTTCTTTCTTTCTTTCTTTCTTTCTTTCTTTCTTTCTTTCTTTCTTTCTTTCTTTCTTTCTT